ATAACTTAATTAAATAAGATAGAATTAAAATTTTATTTTGAAAAAATAATTTATTAATATTTATCTGAGGTACAAATTTTTTCGCACCAGCCCATATTTATAATAGTAATGTAGAACTTACATAACATTAGATGCTTGGACTTAAAAATCATCCAAAATAAATGCGTAGTATGAGCAATCCCTTGCTTGGGCATCAAAATCTGTAAAGCTCATGTAATAACTACATAAGCACCTCGCATATTTAAAAAACTAATTATGTAACTTTTGTTTAGATAATAATACCAAATATACGCATTGAAATTTAATTAACCTTAAAGGAATCAAACTTTTTAAAAGGAAATTATAATAAGAAATTTGATCAAGCAAATTATGGAAGGAGGATTTTATTTTGTATTTACAGGTTTCAATTCTGATATGAAATTTAGAAAAAGTCTTAAGAAATGATATATTCCTTACCTTAAGAAAAACCTCTATTGATTGATTGATTTTGAATCAATCAAATCCTTCCACATAAATATTGATTATTTTACGATACAATGATGCGTGTTATATTAAGAATTATTTAAGTGTTATTTATATGGCGCGTGTTCTGTTTTTACACACAATAGCTTGTCCTTATTAAGCTGTAAAAAGAGTTTTTTAAACCAAACATATATTCAGATTATTTCCAATAGTAAATTGATGGCGTTTTTCACTCGATCACCGAGAACTTCTCGAATCGAACATTATCTACGTATATTAACATTGGTTACGCTTTCCTTCGCATTTATTGGTCTCTTTGTGCATTATATCAAAAAGCTTTCTTCTGCGCATAAACTACCACTCGTTGAAAATTCTATAGAGTTACGTAAAGCACTTCATGTACCCGGTACGATTGTATGTGGACCAAACGTCAATGTTCAGCCAAAGTGCAATATTGGACCAATAGGGGTCACGGGACAAGAATGTAAAAATGAATGGTGGCGTAAAGTCCCTCTAAAGTCTTTTAGAAATGTATATCTTGATGCTGTTGGTGAAGGTTTGTCTTTCAAATTTTATGCAATTTTATGAATACGTGTATTATATAACCAAATATTTTTTGTAATTTAGAATTTATGGTCAATGCACTTGATTGTTTTGTTATGTCGCCACCAGATTCATTACTATTTACGCCCCAACATAACGAACAAATGACAATTTCCATCTACTCAAATGAGACTACAAAATTAGCGCCAGCATTAAATCGATGGAGTAAGCTAAAGAAATAGTCACAGGAAGAAAAGGATTTATACACTAATAATATACCGAATTTAGAAATACATGAACCTCTTCTAAGATACTAGGATTTCTTTTAGAGGTTCATCGAAAAAATATTACTAGTGTATTAAGTCTTTTTTACCTGAAGCATTGGAAAGTTCAACAAACTCTTGATTTAATTATATCCTTTTATATTTTGCATGCTAGTTTTCTTTGGTGTTTATTGGCCATGGATGAAAGAAAATCCATTAGAAACTCATGTTGATATGTTCAATGTTCCAAGTGTATCAATGCTTCAATTCAGTAGACGAGAAATCTATCGATTGGTATGCAAACATGAATTGATTATAATGTATTAATTTATTCTAATTCGCATATTTTATAGGATGGAATGGTCGAAATTAACTATGATGCAATGACTTCACGTCGTAATGTCAATAATTTCAAAAATGAGACAACTAAATGGGGCGTGATACATTTAAGGTCAATATAATGTGTTTTCGCATTGATATAGCATTAGTTTGAACGCTTACCATATTCTTCTTTGAAATTAAGACCTGATTATAATCCACAAATTGACGGATACCTTGTTTCAGTACAACGAGAAAATCCCAGTTTCCAATACTACGATCTTTTCGGTTCGATCGGTGGAAGTCTTACCCTTCTCTTTCTTATTTATTCCTTCTTTTGGGGACAAAAGCGTCTTGATCCTTATGGTGTGATGCAAAAATATGTATTCAATACGGCACAATGCGATTTCCCTGTCCCATCAACGGTTCTAAAGTCATCTAATCCGGGACCCCGTCGTAATCGAGTCGGGACTCCATTAACACCTACCGAAACTACGTCACCTATACGTACAAATACCAGTAACAGCACCAGTTCCTCAATTCTCAACTCTAGACCAGTTAATGGAACTCGTGCTCCTTTACCTGTACATGTAAAAACAACCAGACGTCCAATGACTGATGATGAAAGTGATACCGAGCGACTTGTGAATATGATTACCATGGATACCAATTGTGATGACGAAAATGATCCGCCGCCGCCTTTTGTTGATCAGGCAACTGCTAATTCAGCTTCTAATGCTACATTGATGGATAAAGTTAAGACGACGGAGAATGAAGTCATTGCGTTGAAACATGAAGTCAGAATGTGGGAACGTGTTATAATGAAATATTTGGTTATTAATTCGGGTAGCAATTTAGATTATTTTTAGGAATTTTATCTTTGCAATTATTTCAATTTTTTGTAATTCAAAAATATATTTATGATTTAAAGACTTTACATAATAACAGTTTTTATCCATTAATTCTTCAGTTTAAATAAAATGTATTGATTCTGAATAATTGAGAAATAAATACAAATACTGAGCATGTTAATGGACAAATTATAAAAAATATTTGAATTAAAATTAGTTTTAATTAAAAGAAATGATCTAAAATAAGCATCTTCTAGCATGTCGAAACCAAAGAATTTTAGAATTCCAAATTATCATTATCTTTAAATGGTCCAACGTTATTAATGAACAAGGAAAATATATCATATATATATCTAAATTTCTATTATATTTATTAAAATTTAATTTGAATTATTGAAATTTTAATAAAATTTGTTAACTTAATACTAATAAGCCAAAAATTCACATTAAGTGTTTTGAATTAGTTTAACTTTTTTTACTTTATGTGTAACTATATCAAATTGATATCAATAATAAATATTATTATCAGAATAAATGTATTTGTAATTGGAACGCTGTATATCTGGTATATGCTCATAAAAATATATAAATATCTTGTGTCTAATCGAAAAATATCAGATATTTATTAAATTTTGGCACTGATACTAGTACTTATTATAATATTAATATACATATCTTTAGAATTAATATTAAAAATTACATAATTAAATTTTGTTAAATATATTAAATTAAAAAAGAAGAAAAACATTTTGTTTCAGAGTGTTAAGAGAACTGATATCTAATATTGCTCTATTATTAGTAATTACAAATCCAACTTTTGAAAATACTCAATTATTAACAATACTTGAGAATTAAATTCTGAGATAACTACATATAATTTTGCTTAGAATTAGAAATATTTTTAATAGTAACTTATAAATAATATTTATTATATATTGATATAAATATTATTTTATATAAAGTTATTTTTTATAATATATTATTAATTAATTATTCTGAATTCTCTCTTAATATATTATCTTAGTAGATATTTATATTATTATAGAAATTTCTATAAGAGTTATATGTTAAATAATATTGTTATGGTGAATTGGTAAGTGAGTTATCACTTGAATTCATCCTAATGATATAGGGTTGGGAGAGACTGAAATAATTAAAGGTAACAAAAGAAGAATTAGACTATATTTTCAATAATGACAAAGATTTCTAAGGCCTGTGCCAATATCTATGGATATTGTCTTAATAAAGGATAATAAAATAAAGAAATAAATAAATAAATTAAAGAAATTATAAAGATTATCTAAGTGAAGCTACTAGTAATTAATATAATTCAAGATTTGAATTGATTAAATAGTAAACTATTAATCAAAGAAGACTATAACTAAGACAAAGATAAAAATAAAATACAGAAACTAAATAACTAAACAAATAAAAAGGGTATGGCTTATTTATAGTAGAGGTTGTCTACTC